TATCCTAATACTTACGTTACAAATTTATATTAAATGTCCCATCAAAATTCTCCTAATTACACCAGAATTTAGAGAAAATGTCAGAAGAGTTTATCTTACATAAAATTCATTTCTCACACGAGAAAATCACCGAACCGTTGCCGCCTGTTAGCGAACGATTAATTTCAATATTTTTCCTTCGACCGACCTCGAGCACATCCGCGGCTAATATCCGAAAAAAACGGACGAATCGTAGACTTCCCCGTTCAGCGACCCATCGCGAACCCACCGAATATATTCGACCGGTTAAACACACGTTTACCCAGCATTTTTAATTACGATTCGAGAAATAAACAGGCTCCCTTGGTGCTCGATACGCGACCTCGTCCGAAAAAACCGGGAAATAGCTTCGTCAGAAATTCGCCGAAGCTTCCGATACTTCGGGGAAATTGAGCGAATTGTTGGCAGTTTTGTGTCTCCGTCAAACGATATCGCGACATACAGAGAGACGCGAACGATTCCTCTGGATTATTTTGATTTTTCGCTCTTCTCTCTCACTGTTCTTTCTTTTTTTTTTTTTTGTTTTTTTGCTCCACTGACCCAGATATCGCGCAACGCACACAAAGTAAATGCTTTTGTCTCGCAAAACGGCACGTACATAGGTACGCGCAGCGTTAACTCTGAAATCGAAATCTTTTTTTTGCATATCCGAACGTGTGTGTATGCACGTTCGACTGGCTTGTCGAAGGGAACTGTTTACTCTGCTTGCGATTTAGAAGGGTCTACTTGTGATTCGTTGCCGGTGAGGGGTTAGTTTGCATCGCCCTCTGATTTACTCGGCTGTGAAATAAGGGCAAGTTTGCGTTGAAGAATACTTGCACGATTTCTTTAAATAGAACGAAAGGAGGAAGAAAGTTAGGTGGTGGGAATTTTACGTTGTCTTTTTTTTTTAATTGAAGATTAAATACTTCTTGTGAGAATGTAAAAATCCAGTTCATTGTTCAATACTCATTATTGTTCGTAAATTTTTGGACAGCTGTTATGTTCGTACAGAGAATATTACATGATTTAAAAAAAAAATTTTGCCGTTCATGAGAGTATTGA